GCCAAGGAGAGGAAAGTAGGAAAATGTCAGGAAGCCAGCTAAGCAGAGACAGACCCAGGAGGAGGTGAGAGATAAGGCTTCTGGGAAGGAGAGCCTTCAATGAACAGAAACTATTAGCCAGAATATTATTTTTATCAGAATATTCTATTAGAATGTTATATTTGAATAGAATGAAACAAGGCCTGTCTGGCCAATTCCCTCTTTGGGTGCCCTATGGAGGGGTCCTCCTGATTACCATTCACCCCTGGGAAGAAAGGGAGCAAAATAGGGGCTCCTGGGAGATTCCAGGTGGTCCGTGGTGGACGGTGGGGGGGGGCAGGGAGTTGCCTGCAGGGGCGGCCGTGTCCATGAATTCCCAACCATCCTAGGAGTGTCCACATGCTCCTTTGATGACAGCAACCGAGTGTATTTGACTTAGCCCAGTTCCCAGGCCCTTAATAAATACCTGTTGACTTGGCAATAACAGGGAGGTCTGGGTCCTGGGCGTGTGACAGAGAACGTGGCTCAGTTGTGGGGTAGACCCTCGGCGTGCTTGGGGCACAGTGGAGAGGGGTCCTAGGAGAGGAAAAGCATCCTTTTCACAGAAGATGCCTGGATCCTGCCTCGTTTACCCTTTCTCACAGGGCAGGCTGCCCTGCCATTTCCCCATGCCAGCATGAGTCACAACCCCTCCTCTCTTAGGGTTGTCTGTAAAGTCATAATCTCCTCTTTGTGTGCGGCCTGGAGCTCCCTCTGTTTATGAACCCACTTCCAGGTATCCTCCAAGGTCTGAGGCCACAGATATGGCTCCTGTCTCTTTCTGTGTACTCTCCTCTCCTGAAAACGATCGCCCCGCCCGTCCACGGCCCTTCCGACATGGTGCCTTATGCTTCCTGCTCTTCGATTGGCTTATCTGGACATTAAACAAATATTCTTCACTTTGACCCTGCGTACAGACAACTCCCCTTGCTCAGTAAGTGCCCGGATTCCACGAGTTTCAACACGTCCAGCTTTGTGACAGCTTCTCAGTCACTCCAAGCCCTCCTCAGGGAACCAAAGGTTCATTTGTTTTCATGATCTTTTGCCATAATGTCTGTCGACTCCATCTGTTTAGTCTGCTTTTTTTCTTTTTTAAATTTCTGGTAACACTTTCAGGGCATATTTCAAATAGGAGAAAGCTAGGGTCAAAAGGTAGTATTATTTTGTAAATTTTGCTGAGTGCTGCTGCATTTGTCTCAAACAAGATTCCACACACTTGGGATTCCTGCCCCAAAGGATTATGGGATCATAAATCTAGGCTGGAAGGGATCACAGAGGTCAACCAGCCCAACCCCCTCCTTTTACAGATGAGGAAACTGAGGTCAGGAGAGTGTGTCTCTTGCCCTGTAGCAACAAGGATGTGGGGAGAAAGGTGAAGAGTGAACTTGCAACAATCATATATTGTCTGTTTAAAAGTCGAGCCCTAGCTCTCTGGCACTCATCTTCCTGTGTGACCTTGGCCAAGTCACCGAACCCCTCTGTGCTTCATTCTCTTCATCTGGTAAACCTCTAGCTCCTTCCAGCTCTCCGTCCCTTATTCCATCATAGACCCCTGCTGTGAGGCTGGGGAACGACAGAGAGCACTTTAGAAGTGTTGAAGGCACTGATGAAGCAGCTGTGGGAGAGCTGGACCGGGCTTTTCCAGCCCATCTCAAATGACTGGGATGTGTTCCTCTCCCCCACTCTCTACCCCAGGGAGGATGGAGGCAAAGCTGCCATTTCTCAGGGCAGCCAATGCTTTCATCTTCACTTCCACTTTGTAGCTTGCCACCAATTTAGAAAGACAGCCTAGTTTTTATCTGTGTAGTGGCAGGACGAGACATGTAATTACTTCATAATGTCTGACTCCCCCATTTACCATTTAGATGACTGGAGGATAATTAACCAATCAACCTCTGGCAAGAGCTTTCCGTTCCCCTGCGGAGCTCTGGGGATGCCACGTTGGGAGCCCGAAGTGGGGAGATGAGGCAGGCCCAACATGTCTCTGCTGGGCTTTCACACACACATCTCCCACCCCAAGAAGCTGGATGTTAGCAGTCAACTGTTGTGGAAAGAAACAGCACCCCCAACACACACATCCCCAAAAAAGAAAGTAAACGCTGACTTATCCCAAGGTTTGGTCGTGAAGCTTGGCTCAGATTCAAGGAGCTGAGAATTTTCAGGTCAGGGTGATGGTGGGTCTGGGAGCTATTCTTTTGATCTGAGAATCTGAGTCATTGCTTAATGTTGTTCAATAAATCACTGGACTGACTGGTTAGGCTGCATAATCAAGGTGAGAAGCGCCCACAGCCGCTTTGAGCCCACCCTGTCTCATCCTCACCTGGGAGCCCCTCCTCCTCTTTGGAGGCTCATTCCATCCGTCTACACTGGCCCATCTAGATATCAATGCCATGGGCTGGCCCCAGAACGTTGTCCTTCCTTTCGTAAGCAATTCAGCACCTGCTCTACCTTCTTCCTCTTCATCCCGACTCCCGCCCTTATCATTGAGGATTTCAAGCTTGACCTGTATAAGATTTCCTTTTAGATACCTTGGCCTCCAACCCATCCTTCAAGCCTTTAGTATGGCCCTACTATGTGCCAGGAAATGTTCTAGACACAGTGAAACAGGCCCTGTCTTCAAGGAGCTTATAGACAAAGGAAAAAATCAACATAAGGTGATTGTGGGGTAGGGGGAGGAGAAGGGAGCAGCCCTCACTTTTCTCAGCTCTCAGGACCTCCGCCTCTGACCCCACATCCAGCATACTCGCAGGAATAACCATCGCATGGCTCTCCTGTTCTCCCGGAATAGTCCTGTTTGACCTCCATGCTTCAGGGCTCTGACAACCCCACACCTGTGCTTCCACCTCTCCCCTGGTGGCCTGTGCTATCCACGTGGCTTCCACTACCATGGCACCTGCCAGCACATCTGCCCTGCTCTGGCCTTGCATTCCTCCGCTGGCTGCCTTGATCTCGTCGCTCACCAGGTCGACTGGACACTGGTCACTGACCCAGACTTCTGACCCATACGCCTCTCATGCCATGCTAAACGTGGTGCTGAAGGTGCTGGGCAAAGTCCTCCGACCATGCTGCCTGGGTCTGCTCCACATGGACACTCTCCAGGCTCAAATGGGCACTCAGCGCTGCTCTGTTCTGCTCTGCTTGGTGCTTTAGGATGCATCTCAAAGTGCCTCTTCCAAATCATCTCTCTGTCACCCTCTCCCTCCTCTTTCTTGGCAGTGAACCCCACTTCCTACTTCAACCTAAAAACTCAAGGAGAACAGTGGAGATGCTTGTGGTGCATCCTGAATGTAAGTGGGGACAACTCTGACTTCAACAAGGCATTGACATGGTCAGCTGTGGGGACAGTGATTTGGTCTCCCTGTGACAGCACATAGTAGGTGTTTAATACATGCTTATTCATTCATTAGCTTAGTCTTTGAAGCCATCATTGAAGGCTGCACAATGCAGTCCTTGTGGAAAATAGGCCCGACATCTCTGGCGCCAACACTGTCGAACTGCCCCCAACTGCTATCGATGGACAGGTGAGACCAAGAAACCCAGAAAGATGAAAACCTTGCCCCCTGATGGCCAGGGGGCTTTTCCATCTGACTTGCAGCTAAACTCCCCCACATGCACCATCTCCTCCAACAGAATGTGAGCTCAGTGAGGGCAGGGACGTCTTACTTTTCGTATCTCCTGTTCTTGGCACAGAGTAAGCACTTAATAAATGCTTTCTATCCATTCCTTCACTCATTCACCCATTGATACAGAACACAAACTGAAGAAGGCAGCCGCTGCCTCCTTAGCTGCCCTACCGAGCAGATGCTTAGGAGTCAGAAAGACTGTGGTCCAATGTGTCCTTATGCACAATTTTTATAAACCTTCCTCTCAGTGGCACCAGAATAGAAGGGTGAAATAGTAATAAAAGCTCACTTTCCTATAGTGCTAAACTAGATGTATGGGACAGACAACTCAGCCTGATGGAAGAGACAATAATATTAATAACTGGCATCATCATAATAATAACAGTTAACAACTGCA